ATGATTCTACTGATGACACACAAGATGAAACAAGGCATAGTTCCTTCCTAAAACAGCACTTGCTTTTCTAGGCTAGGAGGAATATTGAAGAAACAAATTAAAATTGGGGATGACAGCTAGTTCTGTTAGAAAAATAAAAATATGAGGCTCAAAGTACTGATCATCTAAATTACATATCCATTAAAGGTTTCACATTCAAAAGGATAATATTTGATTGAACAGAGTTTATATTTAGAGAGAGGAATACTGCTTCTTTCAAATACTGTCTTAAATTCGGATGAAATTTTTAAAATGCATTTCACATATAGCTAGAAATTTTACTCTCCCTTGTTTTCAACTGAACTGAAAGCATTTTGATTGTTTGTGAACATTTGTGTATATATTTTAGAATTTGCAGTAGGAACAGAATTCGAGGCATGCCCACCCTTTCCTTCCTTGTGGCAATCATCTGATCGTTGGCAACTCAGGACTGTGTAGACCCTCTTACTTGGGAAAACATAGGTAATTGGCTACAAGTAATTTTGGTTCTATTGCATAAGTCTAATACGCTTTTTTAAATAAACAATAGTGTAATAGTGGCAAGAAAAAATAAGGTAAAAAAATAAACACATTAATCAACTCAGTCTCATGATTTTTCTTCTGGCACCTTGCACTGCAGCTCAATCTTACTGCAGCTGGTAAAGCTTTAAGCTCAGCCTCGCAGATTGTTTCAGACCTTAGCTATGCAACTTGCACAGATTCCCACAATTCCTTAAGTTCCCTGTACATAACTTGTTCTTATAAGGTAGTTCACCAGATGCTCTGAACAAGCTATAATGGGTTTGTCAGCTTCATTTTAGTGTGGCTGCCATATACTGTGACCTGAAGGAGCGTTACAGATTCCAGTTAAATCTTGAGTGCATGGATGAGGAGAGGAGAAGGAAGGTTTGCTCCTCGGCTGAAAAAGTGACCTCCTTGAATAATTAACTGTTGCCCATATGTGGGTGAAATCATGTTCAAATTATTCTGCAGTGAGCCTAGTCCTCCCAGATTAAGAAAATCCAGAACACGCATCAGTCTTACCAGTAACTGACAACTCCACAATAGAAACATGTAGGCCAGCTGGAAACTAGTCTTGTGGCAACTCCATAGCAAAAGGGGCCCTTTAATAGCTTAGCTATACAGCCACTGCATGCTCTAGGGAACTGCGAGCTGCTAAAGGAGCAGGCAGTGGTGCTCTTTGTAACCAACTCTTCAGTGTTTTTTTCGCCTAGTATTTCATTTCAAAAGCTCCACTAACTGAGAATAAAAAACAGGAGTCATTAGTAGGGACTAATCTCTTTATTTTTAATAGCTACCGCTGCATTTTTCTTCTGATCTGTCCAATTATTTTTGAATCCTTATAAAATTCTAACATCCTTAGTATTCTGTGGCAGGAGTTCCGCAGTGCTTAACTTCTTATTTCCAGCCTGCATGTTGCTGCCTGCGTCTTATTTTTTATTCTTTTGCTGACATTGTCCTTCAAACAAAATACCTATGCATCCTCGCTGATGTTCAACTACCTCTATGAAGCCTTTTTGGCAGAATCCTGAAATTAGGTTGTGTCTACAACGCTCAAATCAGTGCTGAATAGAAATAACCAAGACGGTTTAATGAGGCACTTGAATACCAAAAGCAGTACAGCATCCTCCCCCAGCTCAGAAGGATAAATCAGCCCAAGTGAAGTACCATACCGATAGAATATCTTTAGGCAGTACTACTTCGTACTTTATAAATATATGAAAAGAATGTGATCATCTAGAGCAAAATCTATCAAAGTTTGCTACGCTGAGGTCAAGTCACAGCATTCATTCTTTCTTCACATCCACCAGCAAACAGACATTAATACCATGCAATGGCAGTAACACCATGCAATGTTGTAACATCTCTGCATGAAGGAATCCTGCTTGCCACGTCTGGTTGATCAGCCCAGTCTGGCATATGTACTGGGAAAGAGAGCTACAGCATTGTAGAGCAGCCTCGCCTTGTGTTTAGTGCTGTTGGGCTGCCCTTGTCATGCGAGCAGTGTGCTAAATGTGCATCTACATAAGGACTGCAACAACAGACACCCACCTGACACGTGCCCTAATATGCAAGACAACACAGCACATTGTGTGACCTGAAGAGCATATAAAACTTGGAAAGTGAGTAAAGAGTTTTCAAACTATTTCAATATTTCCTAATTCCTATAATCAAAGACTAGCATGCTCAAGGAATGGTCCTTGAGTGGCAGCTCAGGAAACTCTACAGAATGCTGTCATGGAAATGCTCCCTACATTACGGTCTTTTCTAAATTTCTTTTTCTGAGGTGCTCCGTAGCTCTAGCCACAAATACACATTCAAAAATCACTTTAGAGGAGAATAAAAAGCATGTTCCAAACAATATTTTTCCATAAGATTTTCTGCAGGAAAGGGTAGATATGTTTTAGTAACCAGTGTGTTTAGCACACTGAGATGGTCTCTTTTTTCTTAAAGTACTGCTTTCTCCTTATTCATCATGGCAACTAGATCATCGTTTCAGTATTCTCAACTAAGGAATATCAACTGTCCCCAAAGCAACAAAAATTTTTACGGTGTGAATAAGTTGGCACTAGAGGAAAATACTCTCAAAACAATTTGAGATTAGCTTTACATTTCTGAAATGTCAAGGGAAATTTCTATAAAAAGTGACATTTTTGAAATATTAACCCTGTTCATATGTGTGTAGAGATGTGGAGAATATTCTGTAAAACTCATGCATTTTTTTGCTGCCTGCCTACAGCGGAATCTGCAAATATTTGTCGATGTGCAGGGCAGCAAAGGAAAGGGATGCAGAGGGAAATACTGTTGTGATGTGAATTCTACAACCATTTAGGTTTCTATTTTATTCAAAGACACATATCTTGGAATCTCAGTCTGTAATAAACTTGTTCTTTCAGAAACTTGATAATCTGGTAGTAATAAATCATTCAGGCATTCACTTCATAAGTCCCACCAAATATCATGTGTCGTCAAACTTGCATACATAATGCTGAAAACACAACAGAATTATAAAATAAACAAATCATATAGGAGATGTCCTACTATTATGACAATTGTAGTGCTAAAAGAGCATACAAGGAAAAGAACATAATTAGGTATGAACTTAAAGAAGTAAGCTCTTTCTGTCAACACGAGCAAAGAGGTTGGCAAAGCTATAAAACACTGTTTTAATATTCACCCAAGTGTTATTCCATCTGGCAAGAAACTATAATTCGAATGTACACAGAACAAACTGGAACACATTCAACTTCTGCTTGATCCTATGTAATCTCCGTTTCCTTTAATGGTAATACATGTGTGTTTTCAAGGGCAGAAGGGTTCTGATCCAATAGATTTAAATCTAAGAGGGACCTCTTCAAATCAAGGTGTAATTTGAAATTTTGCCACAGAACTGAGCCTTCTGAAATTCAAGCTGATGTTCTGTTTCTTTAAATAAAAAACACACAGCATAACTTACTCGCATTCAGCAACTGTCTAGTTATTAACAACAAATGGAGGTAAGATTTGAAGCTTATTACAGTTCAGCTTCTTCTCTGGATACTGCTAAAGAAGGACCTATCAAGTTTATGTAGTAGATTCAATTAATAACTGTTGACTGGGACTTAATTTTTAAAACCATTCACTCCTTTTCTAATACTGCAACACATCACCAGTAGACTGCCCCAAGGCAAGGGCAGCTTTATGTAGTACCTAAACCTAGCTGAGGTATGTAGAAATCAGTGAGAAGTGTTCATTAGCAGGAAAGCTCATTCAGGAGCCTCTTGTTTACTTCAGTATGCATATATTCTACACATGTGAACTAAGCACACACCTATCTATTTTTGCCCAGGCTCACATATCCACAGAAGTCATAAAAAAACAGCAAAGTGACGATAATATTTTTGGGAGAAGGTAGCTGCTTATATTAGCAGATTTTTCTGAAAAATTTTTCCTAGGGAAAAAGAACCTGCCCTGGATCAGCTGAAATCCAAATCCCATTTCTAATTGATTCTAAAACATCACTATCAGTGTACTTTTCATAAATTAAAATCAAAACCCATCTATCACAGCAACGTAACTATTAGAAAAGCATTAAATAGTATTAGCTTGCATCGCTTTTAAAGAGACGGTGGAGAAAATACTGTTTTCTAAATAGAAAGACAAAATAATATATTTCCCATTCATTCACAAATCTTGACACTTGCAGTTTATCAAAGGGAAAAGCTTTAGGGAAGAGCCCTTTAAAAATGCTTGTAATACATTTGCATTACATCACTTTCCATTATACAGCTATGCTGGTGTATCTATGAGCTGATAGCCCTCATGCTTTTTCAAATGAATCAGCATAAAGAGAACTTTCCCTCACAGTTATATTAAACCTCAGCAGTAACTCTCTAGACTTTTGTTTCCCATCCATTTCAACAATATATTGGTTTTGCCCATTAGGTGTATCCTAAATATACCAACAAATTACATATAATACAATGCAGCTGGGACTACTGGAAGGGCAGAACAGTAACAGGAAAATTAGATTTATGGTACCTGCACCATTTATTGGTGTAGATATTGGGTTTGTCCCCAAGCTGTGCACCTCCACAAAACACTGCAATTTCTTTTCTCAATTACATATCATACAATTTGTTAGACCAACATAGCACAGGCTGCACGAATATCTGTTCGTACTGAAATTGTGACTGTAGTGTCAACTAAAAAGGCTGGTATTGGCAAAAATAACAGAGTAAATTTACAGAAAACTTTATGACATAAGCCCATGCCAGGAATGCTAAAGAAGAAACAAAAAAATCCCCTGAATATTCAAGCAAACCTAACCATCCTCTCTACCTGTTGTGGAACAGTTGAACAACCTGATAGAAACTAGAAATAAACTCACACCTCTACATACCACTTACATTCAATAATGAAGCATCAAAGCAGTACTTACAGCTAGAGAATATCAATGGACACGAGTGTTCATCCATTGGGAAATTATGTAGCTGCAGCTGGCATTCAGCATTGATGGTAAGCCTGTGAAGAAACCAGCTATCTGTCACTATATATCAGCACAAGAAAAAGTTAAAAGGAGGCAGTTAGGTAACCTTAGGTAATCTTCCAAAAAAACTTTGACATCTTTAAGTAAGGCCTCCAAACAAAAGTCTGTACATACAGATTCTTCATTGGCTATTTAGGCCTGATTTAAAATAAAGATAAATATCTAAGAGCACAAATAATTTCAAACACATCCTTAAGCATTTCCTGATGCCAAAAAATCTGTGCATATGTTTTTCTCCAGACAGTTTATCTTTAGAGGACATGGGATAGGAACAACTGTTCTTTAAAAAAATAAAATAAAAATGGCTGATGTGGTGGTTTGCAATTCCATAGAAATAAAATCTTATAAAGATTCTTATAAGGAACATTCTCTGCATTTACTTACACTGTGAAGTTAAAATTCTTTCCATCATTTTGGAGTACCTCTCAATAGCATGTTAAATCTCTATATGACGTTCTCTTCTGAGTAGCACAGACATAGTAAACACATGGCCCACTAACACAGACCAGTAGAAATGTCTTCAGCCCCATTTGAAAGCTTGTTTTACATGGTTTCCTAACAAAAAGGACACCGTGAGTGGAACTGATTCAAAAATGTCTATTAGAAACAGATAATCTTCAGTCTGACAGATTATAAAGGCAATCTATTTACCCGAGCAGATTGCAACAAGTACTAGTTTATTACGTAGACCACTACTGGCCTGTAGTGGTCAGGAAACCAGACACTGTATTAACTGCTTGCCTGAATTTATGCAGCAAGTGTGGGCTGTAGGGTTTTTCTGTTGGTCTTTTTTTAAAGAAAAAAAAAAAAGGCTAATTCAAAAGCTAACAAACTGGATTTGGAAAGGTCTGGTGCCTCAAATCTAGGATGACAAATAGAGAAAACCTCTGTCTTGGAAAAATCACTTTGTGGAAAAATCACTTGTACTGACACTAGAACAAGATCTCAGGTGTTACAGCCAGAATGCATTTGTGCCCAAAAGTAGCCAAGGAAGAGGAGGGAAAGGCAAGGAGCATGAGTCAACCTTGCACACTTTCTCCTGAATACAGAATGTTTATCAACACATCACAGAACCTGCACATACAGTAGTTACCATTCCCATACTATACCGATACTGTGTGGTTATACAAATCAGATAAATTATTTTTTAATTACACAGTGTTACTGACAAACAACGAATATTCTTACAGTTCCTCTTATGAGGAAAGCAGGCTGAGCTGAGTGGGAGAAAAGGATTCAAAATATCTTTCACACATTCAGAGTGCTTACTCAAACAATCCACTGGATCAAATATTGTCCCATTTTCATCTGTGTAAACAAATTTTGCAATCCATGCATGTGACATAGTTTCTTTAGTGATAGGTGTGTGAGCCTAATTACTATTAGACAGATACGTAACTCACCTAGAAACACTGAAATAAGATCTGATTTAAAAAAAAAAAAAGAGAAAAAAAGAATAAGAGAATATTAAAGTAGTAAAGATCCAAAGACTACTGACATAAGCAAGAGCTCTACCATTGAACTGAGTGGAGCAAGCCTAAGAAGAGAAGGGCACTAATAATGTCAGTAGCATTTCCAACTGTTTAATTCCTTTCTTATTATTTAACAAAGGCTTGTCATTGAAGCCCAACTGCAATTGCAAGTACGATCAGTATATGATATTGTACTGAAAAGGTTTAATACAATCACTGCAGCAAACGTAGCATGAAAGGAATATTTCTGAAAAAGTTTGCTGTGTGGAATATGGTATATGGCAGAACTCCCATCTATGCAATTCAGTTCTTCTACTAACTAAAAACATATTTTGATTTCCACAGGCTCTTTCTGTACAAATATATACAATATTGCTAGTACCATGCAGTTGATGGTATCACAAAGTTCAGAAAAACTCTAAAACCCTTTCTTTCAGCAATTCACCCTTCTGATGAGATGTGACATGCTATCTTTCAGTGTCCCTTATCTGAAGAATCAAGCACTGGCATTAGCCTGAATCTAGAAATACTTTATCCAATCTTGCATCTAAATCTGATCAGAAAGGTTTCTGGCAGGATTTATGGGACTATATTCTTCTGATTTTAAAAAACATTTAAAAAACTGACTTCTACAATTTATGTAAACTTGACTCTCATTACTTAAAAGATCTTTTTTAAAAAGACAATGCTTGTTTTTTAAACTCTGCAGTAGTTACGCCTGAATTTTCAGTAAACATTTGTCAAGCAAGATCAGTAGGCATTAGAAAGGAAACAGCAGAGGATAATGGAGAAAGCTCTGAAAATTACTACTGAGCAAAATATGCTAAAAGCTTCCAGCTAAATACTTTAACTTCTTACCTGAGGGTATATAAGATTTTGCCATCGTTCCATATCCTGAGCAGCTGATTGGGGGTGGTGATCCAGTGAGCTTCTGCTGTTTTGGAATTCCGGAATATCGTATCTGGTATCCAAATCAAACCAACCATGTTGCTGTTCAGGGTCAGTATTTTCATGGTGCTGTTGAAACGAAGACGGCTGTCTGTCCATGTCTGGGCAAAAAATATATCAATTTGATATTCCTGAAATGAAAACATGATATGCAAATTGAAATTTGTTCCATGCTTCTCAGTACTACTTGGTCTTCGATAAGGTCTATCCATATGTAGAGTGGCAAGATATGTTCAAGCCAATGGAACTATGTTTTCTTTTTTACTGACTGAGGAACTAGACTTTTAACCTTTTTCTGCCTTTGTTTTCTTTCTCTAACTAGTTTAGAAAAGGGGCTAACCACCTCACTTGCTTTTATCCTGCACCATAACAATTTCTGCATTTTCACATCCCTTTCAATTGTCTCTGAAAAGTCAGAGCTACAAGATACAATTTGCGTAGGCTTCTATGTCATAGGGCAGAATGATGAAAGAATTATTTGACTTTGTGGTAGCATTAGGGAAACATGAGCAGGAACAATATAAGGAAGCCAGAGAACAGTAAATTCCCCTTACTCTGGCAATGCCTTTTTTTTTTTTTTTTTAGTAATTCCAATAAATTAATTGTTCTGCTTGTAACTAATTATTCAGCCACACTTTCTTAGGTTACGCTACAGCAGAATTAAAAAGGCATGTTTGTACTTCTTTGAGATACTTCATGTACTTCAAATGCTAAGAGCCAAGGGGCTGTTAACCTATTACCCTGAATAGGCTAATATCATGTCACAATCTCACCCTTTCTTTCATTCATGTCTACTGCTGTAAGTAAGCAGCAAGTAAGCAGCCACGGTGGATATAATAATGCAGAAATTAAAATATATATGGACATACACATAAAATGATATAGGTGAACACATAAACACACTGGTTGATGCACTGAATACCCCATACAAGAAGCTGTGTTAAAACCAGTATTTGAAGTGTGAACTCCAGTCCTCAGAAGCCAGGAAAAGGCCATGTTTGCATTTACTAACTTTAGCTGCCTCTCCCTCTTTCCAGACTGCTCAGCCTCTGACACTGGAATCCTATGGAAACATGTCTCTGACCATGTCAAGAAAGGCCCTCTCAGTATTGCAGGGCTGGCTGCATTCATGACAGTGACAGCTTTTGCTCAGGTGACACAAAGTTTATGTTCTACACTGCAGGCTAATACAGGGGCTGGGGGGCAAACAAGCTCCTCAGATCCTCTGGTAAATGCACTCCCGAAATAGCTGAAAAAAGAACTAAGGTTCTGCAGCAAAACAGGTATGTTATGCCTTTGACTACTCTGAACTCACTTTTATTGCATTTTTGCATGTCTACTCCTAAATCTCCTATTTAAAAGGGAAGGTGCAAAATAAATACTATCACATGAACACTGTTTCAAACTGTTTTATGCGCAGATTTTTAGAAGAGCTTGTAGTCTGAACTTAGCACAGTAATTTTACCGCTTTCTGAGAACCATCCAGTTCTCCTGCACTATTACATTTTTTGGCAGGCCATGCTTCTAGAGCTGATGTTGTAACACCAGGAAAACTAATTTACTGACATTGTAATCCTAGCCCAAAACATGCTCTAGGCCTCTCATCTGTACATGGTAAATGATCAGTAGGTATATAAGTGGTGCTAGTATGTATCCAAATGCCAGGTAATAGATCACCTTAGGACTTGAAGCCTAGCCACCAAAGGAATTAAGGACTATTTTACTTTGTAGCCTATCTCATTGCCATTTTTCATTGTATTAGCTTTATCTTCTCAGAGAAGCTGACAGATTGTAATCTGAAGAGACTTTTTTCATCTTGATGTTTACAAGATTGCACATCTTCACACACTTAAATAATGCAGTAATGTAGACAGCATACCCTTATCGCTACCTAGCTCTTTATAAATATTGAAAAAGGACAACCTTAATCCACCAGGTTTAAGATGGTAGAGTGTTGATATTCTTTCTTTACCCTGAGCTCTGTCCCCATCACTTTATCCTTGAAAGTCCAGTGACAAGTGTTAGTTTGGCACATTCAGCTTCTATATACAGAAATATGCCAGACATGCTCATGGGTTTCTCCAAAAGCTGAGAGGGTAGAGATGCTTTTTATAACCCCCATATGAGAATCAGTATTTATAGAATCAAAGACCGTTTGTATACAGCTGGCTAATGACTGTGCTGTCTTTTTACAGAACAAGTTTTTGCATGATATTCATATTTGAGATTATTTTATATGAATGCTTTTTTCTGACTGTCAAACGATTACTAAGTTTAGGAGCATCTATAATTCCCTTCTGGTAGATTGTACATATTTAGGATTTCCCTCCTCTGCAAAGGAATGAAAGCCCTTGAGATATGTAGCACAGTATCCTGTAGGTAGATCTGAGCAAAGTGGGCACCCGAGGCAGTACAGATGCATCATTGTGGTCTGCTGTTCAGGTAAATTATTCTGACTGAGAAACAGATTATATTACCCTAGAAGCAGGGTCATGCTAACGCCACTACACAACTTCCACTTGTCATTTCCTTCACTTATTACTAGATAACTAGAACAGCCCAGATATGATTCTTATTCAAAATACCTCTGCAATGGGCCAGTGTAACTCCATTCACTTTAATAAAAACATTTCAACTTAAATGAAGTGGTTCATAGACCTTCTGAGTTACCTAAGCCCTTTAAAAATGCATTTTTCTTTATGTAAACTTAGGTCACTTTTAAAAAGCAAAGTAATATTTCAAAAAGAAAAGTTGATGAAAGTCTTTTTAAATCACTGGCATTGGAATTTTCAAAGTTTTACCCCTAACTTTTTTCACCCAAAGTATTTACCATATTCAGTCAGAGAAAGAAAGAAAAGAAAATTTTTCATTTGCTAGCTAATGCTGCCCTCCATTTAGAAGAATGCCTATGTTCAAAGCCATTATGAAAAGTAATGGTTGCACTGACAGAATTCAGGCAAGACCACATTTTAGTGAAACGATGCCTCAGATGAAGAAATGTCCTACAACTCCAATAATATTTCGTACGTTTTGTTCTACCACCACACCAGAAATGTTACTATTATCCTTCTGATTCATTCTTTTATTGTTTACTATTTTGTCAACAAACTTTGATTATTATAATTAATACAGGAAGAATTTAAAAAGAGTAAAAATTGTAATAAGGCTCCCTCCCAGGTGCAGAAAGGTGAAACTATATCTGACATAAAATGATGTCAAGGTCACGTACAGTAAAATGTTCTGTCACCGTAAGTTTTCTTGTCTTAAGGACCCAATTTTGCCACGCTACTGTAAGAAGCATAAGACTTTTGCTGCTTACACCAACTCCACATATTCACATTGCATGTGGTTGTATTAAGTGAAGCTATACTGCATAGCAGCTAAACTTTCAAAGAAATATTTCTCCTTGAAGAAAATGAGACTACATGTTAACATGGAGGGAAATTTTAGGGAAATCTTATTTCCTTTAGCATATTATATATTTTCTGAAATAATAAAAAATTTCTCTGATGCAAAATTCAGTTATCGTAACCTTGAAGCTACTGATTGAAGAAGTATTTATTATCACTTTTAATAGTGATAATAAAATGATAAATTGAAAAATTTTAAGAAACTCAAAGAGCAAGAATACAAAACTAGAATATTGTTTCCCAACAGAAGACTCCTGACATACAAAAATATGCTGCTGAAGCTGTGAAATACACATCAAGCTTTTTGAGAAATTTTAAATTTTCAGTACTATTTCCAGATATATTAATTTTTTTTCAGTAAAATTAAATCAGTTTATGTGATCTTGTTTGATCACATCAAAATGTAAATCCTAGCATCTGGCAGCTAATTCACTTCTGAATGTCTTTGCTTTTTCTCTACTTTCCCATGATAACCAGCTTATCACCAAAGTTTGTCATCTGTTTTTTTTTTTTTTTTTGCAATTTATCCTTAAATGAATGCATTATTTTATAAATGTCATCACTTAAAGAGGCAACTTGCACTTTCAAGAATTATTTAAAAACATTTAGTAGAACTTGAAAATAATACAAGTAATATTCTATCACTGAAAATGTTGCTCTATCACCTCCAACAAGGTTATCTTTGAAAATGGATTTTTAAAATTGACACTTGATAACGCTCACCTAACTTCCAGAAATATCTTCTAAAACCAACAAAAACATTTCATGATCTTTTCATTTGTACTGTATGCAAGTAATTGTCTCATGCTGAACATTTCTGTGAATTAAAATTTCATAAGCTCATGTGTGAATTCGAAATATTTGTTAAGAAAAATGACTTAATGAGTTCAGAAAAAGTAACTTAATTTTTTTCTAAATCAAATGATGATTTAACTAGAAGGAACTTTTCTTTCTTTGTGGTCATGAACAGGGCAGGAAGCAGAAGATAATTTTTCGTTCTTTCTCTTGATTTGTGGACAGAAGAACATATCCCAACGCTAACAACCATTAACAGTCAGCTGCAAATAGTGTTATATAGTCATGGTTCCAACTATTTGATTTTAGCATGTTTTTCACATTTTCACATTTTTCACATTTCCAAAGCTAATATGGTTTCATTCCTGCCTTGAAAATAATAAAGCCAGCAACGAATTATTCGCCTTTCAATTGTGTAGGAATGATTAATCATTGGAAACACCTTGAAACTTCCATGGTTTGAGGCATCTGCAGCCACAGAGAAAAATATACAGTTTTCAACCAAGTCTTCAATTGTTTCCTCATTTGAAAGAGGAGCTAACATATTGTTGGCAATACATGAAGCTTTTGTCCTACCAAGATATATCATTTTAGCTGTGGCTTAATCCTGGAATACACTTTTTAATTTGCTGTTGCAGTCAGGTGATCTATTTGAACGTCTATAGAAAACAGTACGCTGTGACTTTGTCTGCAGCCTTCTCATTTTCTGCATTTTCACAGTTCCTCACAGCAACAACAACAGACAGTCTTGTCCTTGGAAATTACACTAGAATTTCTTTTACAATACTTTTCAGGTTCTTACTACTGCCTATCAGACAATTTGCCACCACCACGACAAAACTCCATTTGCCTATAATATACGAATCCCTTGGGCAACGATGGCTAACTTTTCTGATCCATTCAGAATAATTTCTCCAATCCTTACA